TACAGTTGTCCCTCTATAGTCCGACGTTTTTTAATCCGACATGCTCAGTAGTCCGACGCACCTCCCGTCAAGGTACCCGTCCCCGTTACGTGTCTGCTTGCACAGAAGCATGTCGCGATGTGAATCTCCCCATCCAGTTTTTACATGATGACACACATTTCGTGTGTTTTATGTGAGCAGTTCTGTTCGAACAGTTGGAGAATATTGTAAGTTACTGCTAGCAAAACAATGCGAAATATGTAATTATTTTTGGTAATCTGGACACTTTTGGTAATCTGACACACCTTTGGTCCCATACCTGTCGGATTATCAAGGGACAACTGTACTAATAATGGTAATGTAAGGAATAATTTGAAAAAGCAAATGACTGATAACATTTTGAAAGTGTTTCAAATGTATAAATTTATGACAATGTTTATAATCTTGTTTCTTTGTTAAATCTGTTATCAAATAAGAATATAAATAGATGTAATATAAATTGGCCTTTGTTTTTTTAATATAACTTATTTATTATTATGCCATGATTTATAATTATTTTTTCATTTTTAAATGAATATAAAAATGAATAATAAATCAGGATAGAACTAATATATATAATATAATCTATTAAAAAACAATATTAAATAGTTTATTTTAATCTGATTTTAAACTTCATAAATTTTAAAACATGCTTTTTCCTTGATTTTAATAGATCACTGACAATACATTATGCTATCTTTCTGCTGGCTGCCCAAACTTAGAAAAATTGGTGAGTATTATTAATTAATTTATTAAATGCAATAATTTAAAATGTTACAAATTGAATAATAATTTCAATATTTTTATTAGAATTAATAAAAAAAATTTGCTATATACAATGTATAAATGTGCATTGCATGTAACAATCATAGCTGCTTATTGTATATAGCTAATATTTCTTTTAGTGTATTTTAATTATTTTGCATTGTAAATGTTGAAACATTTGCAATGCAAAATGATTATGAATAATAATTAATGCAAAAGATTGAAAAAGATTAATGAAAAATAATGCAAAAGATTTGAAAGTTTCTGTTTAAAAAAGTTATATACAAAACTTGCTTATATTAAAAATGTCTGTCACAAATTATAGTTAAAGTTTATTATTCTGCTTCTTCGTCTGGCATTATGGATCTTGGTGGCCATTAGTTGCAGTCACAATCCTTCTCCATCTCATTTGGTCTACAGCCTGCCTCTTCCAGTCTTCGATTCTAAGGTCTTGAAGATCTTCAGTGACCCCATCTATCCACCTTTTCCTGGGACGACCTCTTGGTCTCTCCCTTTCCCCTCATAATGGAGTCCTTGCGATGCTGTTGCCATTGTAGGTAGCCTTATGATATGACCTAGCCACTTCTTCTGGCAGGATTCTCCCATTTTAGAAATAACCACGTATTTAGTCTTTTCATTGATGATGATCAGACCCATGCTCTTTGTGGCTGTTGCTAATTTTGACATTAATCTTGCCACCTCACCTTGAGATGCTCCGGTTTTGACAATGTCATCTGCATATGCTAGGTAGTGACAGTTTGTCTCTTGAGTTATTTTCATTTTTATTGTCTATCTCCTGGGCCATTCTGACTAGTTTTTCTAGAGTGATGTTAAAGAGAAGAAGAGACAAGGCATCTCCCTGTTTCAGTCCTGTTTTGCTCTGGAAGCTTTATGACATTGTGGTCCTGGTTTTTTCTGGTATACCACACTTCATTCATGCAAATTTTTGCAATTCTGGAGAGTTTGTCTGGTACCTCAAACTCTTCCACACTGATTGCCTGTGAATGCTGTCACATACCTTTTGAAAATTGATTTATAGCAGGTATGTGTCAATATTGTATTCCCAGTTCTTCTCAAGAACTTGTCTTAATGTGAAGATTTGATTGGTTGTGGATCTATTTTTTCGAAAACCAGTTTGATATTCATGTATGATTCCCTTCATGTATGGAGTCAATCTCTTCATAACTAGAGATGACAGGATCTTGTATATCACCTGGAGTAGGGAGATCTCCCTGTAGTTTTTAGACTCCATTTTATCTCCTTATGGATGGGGATTATGCCTGCTTCCTTCCATTCCATTGGCATTATGTCCTGTCTCCAGATCTACAGAATTAGATTATGGATTGTTTTTATAAGCTGCTTTGATGAGCTTGGGTTTGATATTGTCATTCTCTGCAGCTTTGTGGTTATGGAGATTTTGTATGATAATCTGAACTTCACTCTGAGTAGCTTCTTTAACTTCTGGTTGGATAAAAAATTTGGTTGAGTTATTTTCATTTTTATTGTCTATCTCCTGGGCCATTCTGACTAGTTTTTCTAGAGTGATGTTAAAGAGAAGAAGAGACAAGGCATCTCCCTGTCTGTTTTGCTCTATGTATGCTTTTATAGGGAAATGGGGTCATGGAGTCTAGACAGTTCAGGAGATCCTGAAAATATTCTTTCCATCTTTTGGAAACTTCCTGTTTGTTGGCTAACAAACTCCCACATGCATCCTTGATGATCAGGGGTTTTGGTCAATATGTGTTGTATAGAGTCTTAATGTTGCTGAAGAAGCCTCTTACTTTCTGCTTCCTCAATCAAATCTGTGAGAAACTTCCTTTTCTGCTGTCTAATAGTCTTAGAATGTTTTGATGCCTCATCATATTGGTATTTGATATGTAGGTCTTCTGGGATGTCAAGCCAATTCATTCTTGCTTTCTTTTTTTGATTTACCTCTTCCTCACATATGCTGTTAAACCATGATTTCTTTGGCTTGTATCCTCAAGGTAAGGTTTTTATGGTTACCTCTAAGATGGGTGTATGCATTGCCTTCCAGGCTTAGTCCATTTCCTTCTCTTCCATCATATTCAATTCTAGATCCTTTTTCCATTTCTTCCTGGTATTATTGCCTGGTGTCATGAGTTTATGTACATCGCATGAGAAACAATGGGTTTGCTTGTCCTTCATTACCCAGAGTGTCACTTTCATGCTGACTCTCAACTGGAAGTGATCTGCTTCTGCTCCTCTGAGACTATGTATGCTTTTTATGCTATTATGATACCTCTGGTTAATGAGTATATGGTCTATTTGATTCTGAGTTTTGCCATCTGGGGATACTCATGTTTGTTTGTAAATGTTTTTTATAGGGAAATTAATACTATGTATTATCAGATCTTGAGTGCTGGCTAGGTTGATAAGTTGCTCTCCATTATCATTGGTTGTCTCATGCAGGCTCTCCTTTCATATAGTGGGTTTGAAGCACCGCTCTTTGCCTATTTTAGCATTAAGGTCCCCAAGAAGCATCACTGTCTTGTGTTGGAACCCCCTGCCAGTATGTTCTCCAGCTCCTCAAAGAATTTGTCTTCGTTTCCTCCATTGCTGACTTCTGTAGGAGTATGGACATTGACCAGTATGATATTGAACCACTGGCCTCTCATTCTGAGCTTGGAAATCCTGTCAGAAATGCATTAAAATGCCAAGATCAAGTCCCATATATGCTCAGCTATGATGAAACCCATGCCTAGCTCATGTCTAGTATTTGCTCCATATAGGATCATCATGTTCTCCAAGGTGATTACATCTTCCCCCACCCATCATGTTTCTTGGATGGCTGTGATATCCATCTTATATTTCTATAGTTCTTCTATTACTCTCTTAAGTGCTCCTGCTCTGTAAAGACTTCTTACATTCAAGGTTCCTAAGTTCAGTTTGTTTTTCCAGTTTACTTGTTGAATTCCCTTTAAAGGCTGTCCGATTGTTTTCTTGTGGCTGTTTCATAACCGTCCTGGTTTTTATATGATGGGATTGTTAGCCCCATGCACAACCCCCAACCTGGAGGACCAGGGTATCTCTCTTCATCTGTTTTCTCTTCTCTCCTTTGACCTTTCTGGCATAGGAGGCCTTACCATTAGCTATGCTACCACCAGCATAGCCCTCAGAAACACAAGCCCACCACGATGACAAGGTGGAGATACCAATGGTGGTCATTATTCTGCACCCTCTGAAAAATAGCTGATGATCCAACTACTTTTCAGAGAGTGCTGGATAAAATAATTCAATCATTATCATCTCAAGAATAATTAGGAAGGCCCACAAGTGTAATTCAGTAAACTGTAAATAGTCTATGTTGTACTGTGCTGAATGAACATTGCTTTGTTAGAGCTTAGCACATGTCTTTTGTATCCAATAATGCCATGAATAATATATTTTTACACAGACAGTGCAAGGGCAATGCACTGAAAAATAGTTTCTCATATTCAGAATGTAGCTTTTCTGAGCTGTGTATTTACAGTACATGTCTCAAAAATAAATAATACAGTATATGCATATGAATTGTAAATGTTGATTTTGTATAATGACATTTTTATTAACATTTTTGTGAATTTTTCAGTTAATCTAAGACAGTATAGTCTCACTGTGTCAGTTTCAGACTGACAAAGAGTGTGCATAAAAGAAACCAAATCCTATAGCAGTGAGTGCTTGTACAAAATGTACAGCAATTTTTGGATTGTGTGTAACTTATTGAATAGTGTAGAAATAGTGTCCAGTAATCTGACATTTTCAATAATTTGGCATTATCTGATCTAACAGGTTCCAAATTAATGAACTACTGTAATAAGTCAATTATAAACAATGTTGATTTTACAAATTTTATAAAAATATTAGACATATTTTTTATAATTGACTTATAATTATATATAACAAATGACATTGTAACAGAATTCTTATGTAAAAATTTATCTAAATATATAAAATTACTTGTCCTGACTGACTGACTGACTGATTCATCATCGCGCAGAGCGAACCACTGAATCTAAAGAGGTGAAATTTGATACGTACACAGTTAGGGTACATCATGAAAACGCACACTAAGAAGGAATTTTTTTAAAATTTCCCCGCAGGGGGAGAGGGAGAGGATTAAGGCTTACAGTACAGTAGAATGGCTTCTACTGTACTATTTTCGATGCAATTTTTCGTTTTTAACTACGTTTAATTTTCATCGAGTATTTAGATGTATTAAATTGATAACATCTCAGACATTGTTATAAATATTTTTATATATTTTGATTTTTTAACCAAATGTTTGAACTGTTTTAAATTCGAATTTGTTATTGCATATTGGTTTGATTATAGAACGATTGTAAACGTTCCAGAAAATTGATCAAATTGAAAATAGTTCATTTGGTTCTCAGTAATTCTCATCATTCTCAGCGGTAGGTGTTAACAATTACTATGGTTGTTGAAATACCGAATATAAATGGGGTTTGCTTGCAAAATCCTCTCAGGCAAAGCCGTGGGTAACAGCTAGTTAAGTAATAAATACACTATATACTGGATAATTTACAAAACACTTACAAACCAAAAATCCAGCTTGTGAAACACAAAACGATGGAGAAAATCAAATGTTTTCCATTGCTTTTAGCAATCATCTTTAAGTTAAAAAATGTATTAGGAAACAGGTATCTGAATAGAATGGCAATGGAATATTTTATCATAGAATTTCTTTTTACGAGGCTCGAACCCACAGCATTCAGTTGTACTAGTTTAGCATTGCTAGAGTTACCACTGCTCCACCAAGCCCCATGACAATGGAATGTAATAATTTAAAATATAAAACGAGTGTCTGATTGGTAGACAGTAATCGTGTGTTTGTATCAGGATGTAAATATCAAGATGTAAAAGTAATATTAAATATCCAATAATGCCCTCCAAACTGAGGATAACATGTTTTTAAAAAGTTATTGTTAGTTTATTAGATTAATGTTTTTATTTTCCTTTACAGAGTCTGTCTCATTGTGAATTAATAACAGATGAAGGTATCCATCATCTTGGAACCAGTCCATGTTCTTCAGAACATTTGAATGTTCTTGAATTAGACAATTGTCCTTTAATTACTGATGCTTCCCTAGATCATTTGATAACTTGCCATAGTCTTCAACGTATTGAATTATATGATTGCCAGCTGATTACAAGAGCTGGAATCCGTCGTTTGAGGGTATGTGAATACATATGTATATCTATTTTAAGTAATTGATATTGTAATTTGTTTATTTTTATTAATTATTGTGCAATCTAGAAAATACAGGTATATGTTCTTTATAAACCAATGCGATTTTTATTAAACTGCCATATGATGAACAAAAACAATCAATAAAGAATTTAAGAATAGTGTTGATTAGTAAGCTGTTTTCTTTACAGTTGTCAATGATCCTCAAGACTTTTGAAGTCACTCTTGTAGATATTAAAATTTTTTTGCAAAAAGTCCAATTTAGCAATTAAATGCAATACTGTTTTCTAAAGGATTAAGAAGTCCATAAAAAATTTAATTATTGCAGCAAAAAATTTACTTATGTGGAAACTTTTTTAATAATAGCAGTGCTATATTTAACTATTTGATTACAAGAATATTCAGAAATTTATCAATGTCTTGTAGAACAATGAACTATATCTATACGAATATAATTTTAATGGAATATGATGCATATAAAACATTTTTATTTTTATGTTCAAAAAAATAAATTGCTTTAGAATTTGAATGCTGTCATTTTCTATTTGAAACTTACAATGCCTAGAAGTATAGAAAATTCTGAATTAAGTCCAAAATATTCAAGCATTTTCATAATTACTTTTATGATATAACTGAACATGTAATTAATTCAATAACCTGTGAAAAATACTGTAAAAAATGGTATTGGGGAGAAAGCATTTATCAAGATATTATTTCAAATTTCATTTTATTTTTCTGCCGTCATGTTTAAATTATTTTATGAATATTCTGATTTATTATTTTAAATTTGCATTTATATATTATCATTATATTGTGTTCATTTTACTTATAAATACATTTTATTAATTTTATTGATTTAGAAATATAAAACATATGTAACTGATAAAATAGTAAAAATAAATACAATCAACCTTTAAAATCAAGCATAAATTTTTAATAAAGTAAGTTTTCTGCTACATTAGTAGCCACCGTCTAGTTTAAATATAGATGTTTGAGAACATATGTCACAAGTTATGGAATGTTTGTTTATTAAGAATTTATGCTAGATTTTAAAATTTATGTATTTATTTTTATAATTATGAAATGAAAGGTTAAATTTTTGCCCTATTCAATTTTTTTTGAATGCTTTTGTAACGTTAACAACTAGATATATGGAGTAGTATATAATTTTTAATAAAACTTAAAAATGTTTTCATAACTTTAAAGATGTCTATTTATTATTTGTCTTATCAATAAATATCTTTTTAAATGAAGTTAATTATACTTAGAATTAGGACAACTGTAGAATTATGCAATATAGAAATTGCTTTAAACATTTTTTAGTAACTTTAATATGCTGTCATGTTTAAATAATAAAAAATGTGCTTAAAATGATTTATATTAATAAGAGGAATATGATTATTTATTTCAGAGCCATCTTCCTGATCTACGAGTGCATGCTTATTTTGCACCAGTAACTCCACCACCTTCAGCGGGGGGAGGTCGTCCACGATATTGTCGATGTTGTGTTGTCTTATGAGATCAATTTTATTCATCCTATGATATAAAGAAAAAAACTAGGTGCATTCCAATGATCTAATTCTCTGTGTTGCAGTATGCACTGCATTATACACTGGCACAGAGATCAATATTATTTCCTAAGATTGTTAATTTATTACCATATGCAATATTGGCAAATTTTGTCATATCAACAATTATTTCCATAAGATAAAAATATATTGGAAATAACAATCATGAAAAAGTATTTGTGATAGAAATGTTCAAAGGAAAGTGAAAACAGCTTGCAATGGACTTATTGATGGTTAGATATGAGAAATTAACAATGAAATTTTGCTGATAATTGACATTATTCCTGATATACGATCTTTACAAGAATTATCCACAAATTTCCATATGTAATTATAAAGTTTTATTTATATCAACTAAGGAATGTTGGAAGAACAAAATGATAAGTTTTATAATCATAAACTTTAAATATTATATCCAAAAAAATATCATATTTGAATTTATAAGTTGCTTGTGAAAGTTGTGAATATGTTGTAGTATATTATTATTGTAATCAGTAAGAAATTAAAAAATATAACATGCTTTTTACAACATATATATATATGAAATTTGAATTTTAAATTTTTTGTTATTGAATAAAAATATTGGTATGATTATTAAATTGTGAACAGTAATGATTTATTTCAAAATAATATTTAATAAAATTAGGAGTAAAATATGAAACAATTTTCTTTTAAGGCTGATTTATAGCCTTTTTGGTTATACATGTGATCTCAGCAGATGGCATTATAAATTTCATGCTTTTTCTATGGGAAATACTTTGGTCAGTTACATCCAAACAATTTTTTGCTGGAGAATCCTATTTAATCTGTATATTAAAATGCAGTTCAGAATTTTGAAAATTGAATTTATTAATTTTCTACAAATTTTCTATAACTTTAAAAATTCATAGAAAATTAAAAAATTCAATTTTCAAAATTTTGAATTCTACATTAATAGAGAATTAAATAGGATTCTAATGCAAAAAACTGCTTGTTTAGTTCTATTTGCTTCCATTTTCAATTTTTGGCAAAGAATTTTCCCATAGAAAAAGCAATAAAAATTTAATGCTATCTGTTGGAGATTGTAACCTGTCTCTGGTTATGGATGCAATCAACCTTAAGCTTATTTTCATACATCGATATTTTTTGATAACTTTAAAAATTGCTTGAATATATTTAAACTAATATGCTAGAGTTTCACTTTCACAAAAAAAAAAAAAATTGCTGCTGTTCTTATTTTGATAAAAATCATTTTATATTTTTTAATATATTTTTAATATCAAGTATTATATTTTAAAACATATATTAATTTTGATTATCAGACATGGAACAATTAACATTATCAATTAATAATTTGAAAAATCAATTACAGTATGTATTATTTTTATTTTATATATAAAACTTTCTATTAATAAAATTCAGATGTTTAAAATTTAATATTATATGATGCCAGATGTCAAATTAATATTGAATTAAAATAAGATTTAATTTTCACTCAATAAATTGGGAATATTTTTACATTAGAAAATAAGAATCATTAAAACATTTAAAGTGTATATTATTATTATTTGAACAAATACATTCTTAGTTAAGCAATTTTTAATGTAAATTTGTTTATAGATTTATGATAAAGATTTGCTTAATATTGCTTTCATATGGAAAAAATTCATCTTCAATAAAATTTTCTTTAGATAATTCAAATAGCTATTACAGTAAACTGTTTGATTATTGATAAGTGCTATAATATAATATCTGCATTTTTTTAAATTGATAACATAAATTTTGAGATTTAATTTATGCTAATTATATAAGAAAACTGCTATTTGTAATTATTATATCCTAGTAATAGATAAATTTTATATTTAATATGAATTTCTGTTGTTTTTCAATTGTTTTAGAATATAAAAATTGTAAACAAGTTTGATGTAATAAGCAAGTGTCTGGCAGTTTTTTCATAAACAGAAATACTCAAATGTATTGTTTTTATATTATAATTTTTAAATTAAAGAAGTTAATATTTCAAGCAAAAAAGAATTACAAATGGCTAAATTCTATTACAAGACAAGATATATTAGTGTTAATGAGCAATTGTTATTTATTGTGACATCACAATTTTTTTCATTTTATTTTGCCTTTTGTGATTTTGGGGAGTATTAGTTCATTTAATTTTTTCGCATGAAACAATTTGCAATTTTTAATCATATTCTTAATTTATTCAATTATAAATATATGTTCTCCATCTCAAATTTGTAGTGTCTTGCCCCTGTACATCACACTATTCCTGATAACATTACACTTACTTCCTGCTGGTCATTATGTAACTCCATTTGGAAAAATTTTTGAATTGAATTCTGGTCTAGACTAGAAATTGCATGAACTTATATAGTTAATCAAGGCCTCCTGCTCCTGAGCTTTCCACATGTGGTTTTGACTTTCATCTATCTAACGCTGTTCTCGAGGACTGACGATAACAGTGGGAATTTATAGGTCTACAAATTGCAGCTTAATTAAAGCATTCTGCATGTTACAGAAAGATTAAATTCAGGATTTATTTGAGCAAATGTATTTTTTCTGATTATTGATTTCTTTCAGCTGGATGAACATGTATTTATCTATAGGCTGTATTAAAGGCAAGTAATTTATTTTATAAAGTAATAGTGAATAGTGAATTGCCTTTAATTATCTTTGATTATTTATATTAATTTTATTTTATAAACTCACTCAATAATAATAATAATCAAAGTTTTCTGAGTTTTTTTCCATTCTCCTCATTCGTTGTTTGTTGTTGAATGTTGTGATTTAATTGGAGAAATGAAGTTCATATTAATGAACCTCTCAAACCTGATGTTTATTAATCCAAGACAAACAATTTCTGTAATGCATCCGGCTATTTTTCCGCTACTATTAATTAAATTTTTTCATTTTTTACTTGAGGTAGGCCTCAGGTGCCATCTCTTATTAAATTTAATATTTATAATTTATTAAATAATTTGAATATTCTGGAAGAAAATAATCAGTCGAGTAGGACTCAAGCCCGCAACTCCCACTTACCATGTATATGCATTGCCAGTTATGTCACCTGGACTTCTGAATGATTCTCTGCTTCCAAACATATTTAATCTTAGATATAACCATCCATGGTTACTCATGGTACTATGGTCATAGGAGTCATCCCCACTCATCGCTGATGAGTTTATTTAAAATGTTCCTTAAGGAGGAATTTCTAAGGACACATGCTGATACACTCCAACCATCAGTGGAGCGTGTCAGTGTTCTTATAAGACATTTCCGTAAGAAAGAAATAGTATTAAAATGCATCATTATGGTATAGCATTCACAGAAAAGCAATTTTCTTTTCATGAAGCACATATATTGCAGCTAAGTTCTATTGTTTAAAAGTTTGCTTTGCATTTTCATACAAAAAATTATTTCTAGCTTCCTTTTTTTTCCTTTCAAAAAAATATTTTAATGCAAATTTCACTAAAATTTGCATTAAAATATTTTTTTCTGTCCTGTCCTGTCCTGTCCAGAGCCTCAGATTAAAATATGAAAAATCAAAAGTATGCTTTAAGACAGATTTTCCACAAGAAAGTGATAATTAGGAGTGAATGAATTAGAGCAGCGGTTTCTAACTTATTTTTATCATGGAACCTTTTTCACCTTACTAAAAAATGTTGGAACCCTGACAATTTTTAATGATTATAGATAAACAGCAAATAGAAACACTAAATTTATTGAAAATGCAAAAAAAAGATTTGCTTTCCATAAGTAATAAAAAAAAAAAAAAAAGAGATTAATAAATTCAAACTGGTCATTAATGTGAAGGGTTAAACTTTTCTTTCAATATTTTAAAAGTGCTATGCCTGGATTTATATCTGCCCTTTCAGTCTCTTTTGCCACTGGAAACATTCAAAGTACTTGCTATATTTTTCTTCAAAACTCTTATCTCAGTCAATGCACCATGATTTTTTAATTTGGGATATACACAATTCTAAAAGTACTATAAATTTATATGATTCCCACTATATTTTTATATGAAAAATACTTAAAATATCACAAAACAATTGCAGTGCAAAACTCTAATAATCTTTGACTGATAAGCCCGCTTGTACGCTATACCATTTGTGCTTCAACACACTACAGATAACGGGACATTAATTATGACAAGTTGGACAAGGGGAAGGGAGGGATTGAGCTTCAGTGGACATTCCTTTATTTCATTAAATTTTAGTTTATGCATTTTTATTACATTTATTTCAAAACTTCTTTTATGCTTTGTTTCTACTTATGGTATCTATCATTCATAAGATGATAAAGGTTTTAAGAGGTTTGAGTTTTGTTAGATGTCCGAAGAGTGGAGGGAGTTACGGAAACTTTAACAAACTGGGACAAGGGGAGTAAAAATTTTAAGAAAAATGCAGACATAATTTATGGACAGCCCCTTATAACAATTACACTTTACATCTCAAATCTGCATTAGCACATCACTAGATTCAACTTGTGTTCCTTGGAACCCTTGGATTCCACGGAACACAAGTTGGGAATCCCTGAAGTAGAGCAACGATCCTAATCTGTATATATCTTATTGCTCAATATGTCAAAAAAATTATGAAATTATTGAATTATTAAAGATTAAATAATTTAATCTGTAAAAAATTTAAATATTATTAAAAGTTTTTCTAAATAAATTTGATAGTATCAAATGTCTGTTAAAGTTAAATTGTAGAGAATGTTTACATATTAGCTGTAAAGCTGTACAGTAGAGCATCGATTATCCAAATGTTGATCAACCAAAATGTCAATTAACTGAAAGCTTTCCAGTCTGTAAATTTAAATTTCTGCTTGTGCTGTGGCACTGCAATCTTTGGCTATGTCTTGGGCTACTCCAGTATTATTTATGTTAGTGTGATTGTGAGAGGGTACATAAGGACGTGCTAGGATTTGAACAAATTTCAACATGGGATAGGTTAATATATTTTTTCGTACATAATCAGTTCCAAAAAATCAATTTTCCAAACAACTCCAGTCCCCAATTGATAACCAATCTCTACTGTATTTGTAAAATTGAAATGATGATTCTTATGTTTGAGTTATTAAGATTATTATTATGTTTTAATTAATTAGTTCTTAGTTCTTTTGCATAGGATAGACAGTTTCAATATCTATCATTAACATATTTTTATGAAGTTATTACTTAAATCATGCTCTTCTGATTATAAAAATTTTCTATGTATGTCTGGATTTCAGTTTGTTTAATTATAATTTTTTTTCTTTTAGATTAGTGATTTTTGAAAATATTCTTTTGAAATTGTCATTCTGTAGTGGCTACATTTTCAAATGATGTCAAGAAAGACTTGTAAAAGTATGTTTTAGTTTTCTTCTACTGTTAATGTATATAATTTATCACAATGATCAATGAGCTGATGAATACAATTAGAGATCAGATAATTTTTGAATTTTATTTTTAATCTTTTCGATAAATTTTGTGTCATTTTGAAACAGTTTATAAAAATTTTATATTGGTGATGGACTTTTAGATAAAAATTACGACAACAGAGAGAGACATAATTTAAAGTTTTATTGTTGTAAAATTGCTCACAACACAGGGCAGTTGTCTTTGATCAGTTGATTGTAGGATTGGGAAGGAATTTACATTACATAAATCAAGTTTGGTGATATTTACATTGGGGTTCTAGTAAGAAATATACAGCGGAATTAAGATCTATATACAAATGAATCGTACGAACCCAAATTCTAGCAATAAAATATTCTGCGGTCGTGGTGGGAGGGAATGTTTTTATGACGAAGCTCTCCTAACAAATAATCAGGTACACGTCGTCATCTTATTGACTGAATATACTGCAAACCGTCCTGAAATTCTTTATTCTATATTTTGCTTCATAGAGATAATAAATTAGAATTGAATATAGATTTACAACTTCAATCTACAAAGATTAAAACACTAAATGACATCACTGTTCAAAAAAGATGAAAGCAGTTACATTGATTTTAATCCCAAACATTTTTCTGGTGATCCCACTTCTGTGCCAATACAAAAGTGAGTATTCAATTTCAATGTACAGAATTCAAGGTAATAACAATGCTAAAAAATTGTTCATTAGCAATAATTTTTTAAATGAATTAATATAAAATAATGATAACTTTCACATAATTTAGAATATCAAAAAAAAATTTGCATCTGCAAAATATAAAACTGAATATATAATTAAATAATGAATAAATGTTTTGATATTTTTTACAGGGTGCAAATAATGACGATTAGTTGAGCAGATTGGAATGTAAAGCTGTATAATTGAATTCACATGTCCTCCTTTCCATAATTTATATATATGTATATATATATATATATATTTATATACACATCCAATACATATGTACATGTCTCCAATATACAGTTTTAGCATTTTTGGGACATTCTTTGACATATTTTCAACCATACGTAACTACACTATAAATACATACATTAGAAGACTATGTTAAGTACAGGAACAAGAAAACAAGACTCTCTCTTTGAAACTTATTTCGAGCTAAGACAATTCTCAGAAGTGCACTCTTAACATTAGTGGCACTGCAGTAACGTCATCCGAAGAATTCACCAGAAATAAACTTTTAATATAACCGGAAGTGGAAGAAAACTGAAGCACTGTACATTGGCAGTTGCAGGCAGCACTGATTGGAAGCAATGTTTTTTTTTTATTTTTTATTTGTCCTATGCAAGTTTTCTTCTTTCACAAAATCAGTTCTTGTGCACCGATAAACTGTATATATTACATCAATTTCTAATTGTTTGAAAATATTTTAAGGTACAAATCAATTCTAATTGGAAATTCAATATGCCAACACATTGATTTATCGGTCGCAGTCGCCGGAATTGAAGTTTTTGTTTTTATACATCTAAAGGGCTTTAGAATATTGAGCTGCCAACATGAGAACTGTATTACGACTGCACGTTTACGTAACACTGCAAATAAATGTGAGTCTGCTCTCTATCTTATGTATCTGAATTTAAGGCTTATTGTCATATGTTATTTAAGTCACCAATGTGGTGTACGTGATGACAATTCCTTTTGTAAATTTAGCATAGATGTACGTATAAAACTATGCTTGTCTCCAGTAATAGATATAACAGTGTATAATTTAACTCAGATGACAATACAATTTATAGAATTTCTATGTTTGATTGTAACAAGAAAAATCTTTTAAAAAATGAAAAAATATTATGATAAACAAATGCTTGAAATTAGCTAATTAATATTTTAAATATATGTAAATTTCATAAAATAAAAACTATAATCATTTGAAAACAGTATATAAAATTTAACAGATTATACTTTGCGAACATAAAATAAGAATTAAAATAAGTCTGAGAGCAATAAAAGTACTTTTACTTTTATTTATTCAAGTTTTGTTACCCAAGTTAATGAAACTTCAATATTAATAGATTAATTACATACTGACCAATCACGTAAACGAGTTTTTTGGAATATTGCATTAGCTATAATTTCAAACATTATGTAAATCAAGATCGAACACAAGTCATCATCTATAAAAAGTTTAAATGGGATCATTCTATGGATTTCTCAGTATAACAAATAACACGAAACGACGTCGGGAGAGACATTCCCGAGTTACAAACACTTTTAGGGTTTAAGTAATCCAATTGTTGGAGGAACCCGTTATGATCACTACAGCTAAATTGTAGCTGCCTATTTGAATAAATAATGTAAATATACCCTGATGTTACGTTCATCTTCCAATATAGGGTAGCTGCCAGACTTTTTTAAACATGCAACAATTTGACATGTATGTTGTTTTTTTTTTTAATTTCTTTAATCAAGACATTTGATTAAAATTTTCATTTGCCTAAATTATTCTAAAACATTTACAATGTTAGTGTTCATATATAACCTTGCATTAAATTTGATATGGTGACAAAAATGGTCTGTAACAATGTGACTGCTTTATACATTATTAGCTAGGAAAGTACATAATAAACATCTATTTGTAGTTATGAGGCACAACATTCCTTGTTTGTTGTTCTCCGACTGCCTTTGTTTAAACGGGCAATCTACTAATCAAACTCACACAATTTCTAAGGCAGAAAATGGCATCCGAATAACTATCAAATTTTAGAAAAGTTAACTAAAGTAGCCATTTTATTTCCACTTTTAATATTTTATAAAAATCATTAATGAATTAAAATACTATGATTTTAAAGTCGAAATGAAGTTAAGTTTAATTTTTTACTTTAAAGTGTGTTTTGTTCATTAGAAAATCAAATTATTATTATTAAGTTAAAATTAATATCAAAATTTAAATAATAATTCCACGGAACACAAGTTGGGAATCCCTGAAGTAGAGCAACGATCCTAATCTGTATATATCTTATTGCTCAATATGTCAAAAAAATTATGAAATTATTGAANAAATAATAATAATAATAATAATAGTTATATGAATGTTTATATATATATTTTTTATTTTGATTAAAAGGTTTGCACTTTTAGTATATACTGAGGAAAATTCCCAATCTTTCTCCTAATATAACTTTTTCCTTACCTTTTTATAATAATAATTTATCAATGTAATCATTAAAACTATTAACTGCTAATATAACTATGACATCTAAAAGTAGTAATTTTATTAATCTTTTATATAAGTTTACCGCAAGACACTGAGTGGCATGTTGCAAATAATTTCCTAAATGGCACATTAATTATTAAATCATATGCAGCAACACTAGTTTGTAAGAAGAAAAACAAGACGGCACTTTTTGGTTGATTTTCTGTTAACCCGTTTTCTTCTCTCCGCTCTAGAAGATTACCGAGTAAGAAATATATGTAATCTCTAGAGCAAATTTAATTTAATAAATATAAAACATTGGCTTATTAATTTAATAACTTATCGATAACTTAACTTTTATATTCATATATATATATATATTTTTCTTTTCTTATTAAAATACAAATAAATTTATATCTATTTGGTGGCACAACCAAATGGGATCACAGAATTAAACCTTTAAAATTCCAAAATAAATATTGTTGATCTTAAGATAATGTTTGGGTGATATTGCATGAGTGATACTATGAAAATCTATTTTTTGTATATTCCCGAAATAAATTCTAGTTATTCACTCGATTCTATCGACTATATTTTGAAAATTAAATAAATAAGCAATACCCTTTCCTTTCCCAATATGATATCACAAACTGTAATACAATCTTTCTTTTTTGTGCAAAACTTACAGAAGGTATTCACAATGGGGATTGTACTTGAGTGATTTGGAAAGAGAACTTCCATTTGAGAAATACCTTCTAAGACAGTTCTCATGTATAATGGCATTTGTATATCTACATATTTTAAATAGTTTACCATTTGAGCACTGAGATTCATTATTTATTCTACGATTAGATTTGTTGGGAACGCGATGTTCTCCACTGGCCTAGAGAAATTCTTTGCCTTAGGATTTGGTGTTGATTACAGACTAGATAAATGTCTTTTTTTTTCCCTTCTTTTTTAAATCCATCTTAGAAGAGAGTGAAAATCTTATACTTCAAACTCTCGATGGTATAAAAGGCATGTGTTTCTTTGTTTTTAAAACTTAATCAACAATCCGTACGCTTACTAGAAGTAATATGATCTTTTTTCTGAGCACTAGGAGGTGTGGCATAGAGGGATCCTCTATAATCATCATATACGATAAATTGTTCTTTAACACTGTCTTTACATTTACTCTGACTAGGTAAAGTGGCAGATTTATCGAATGAATTTTCCCTCAATTTCCACACGGGTGATCCGGCTGTCTCCACCGGCTGCGGTTGATAATTGGTTGGCGGATTGCTTGACTGAACTAGTTTTGCGGAACTGCTACCTGTACTAGAATTAGAAAGAGTAGAAGTTGTACTCAAGCTCAGAGCTTTTGATGTTCCTAAATTGGCTTTTCCACTGCTTGCACTTCCTTGTGATCTATCGGATTTTCCTGACTTATCAGATTTTTCAGATTTGTCCGATTTGTCAGACTTGTCCGACCGGTCTGATCTTTCAGAATCTAATGGAAGAGGAGACTGACCCCTAGATTCGGAAAATTCTTTGGAATTACCCATGTCGTCCATACCGTCTGCTACTGTTTTGCTCCTCGTGCAAAAATTTTGATCCACGTTGTCGTAGGTTTCTATAGTCATGTTGTTTCCAATATTTCCAGCCGAATGACGTTGAGGCATCTTACCACTCTTCTTCTTGGCACTTAATGTCCTAGCAATACATTGCCCTTCCACTTGTTTTTTGGATTGAGCAATTCTATCTTTAGACACTTGTTTATTAGTTGGAACTGTCATGTTTCTTACACTTTCTCGTATGATTTGTCGAATTGTACGTAAGAATGCATTTCTAAATTCGTTAGTGCTGCAAAAAAATAAAAAATATTTACTTTNGTAATTATCTGGGGCTCCCACCAACAAGGACCCCAAACCAATCTTTCATAACAAAATATTTCCCCCAAAACAATTCCTCCGGAAGAAAAATGTCTGAACTGAACACTGTACTGTACTATACTATAGTACCTGGGGACCCCTAATTCAAATTTTTCTTGACCCCATAAGGGCCTCGCGTCACGTAGCTTAGGGCCTCATATTTTTACATGTATCATTATAGGAGAGGAAGGGCCTGTTATGTTATAACAGACTCACAAGCCTGTTTAGCCTTCGCCTGCATTATTTCTAAAGTTCTCTACCTAAAAAAAAAAAAACAATTCCTTGAGTTATTTCAAGGCTTTCTACAGTGAGAAGAAAAAATTATATTAATTAGTAATACTTTTGATTATGACTGTTAGTTAATTATTGATTAGTCATTATATCATAATTCCCTTAAATAAAAAAAAAAAAACAATTCATTTAAAATAATACAAATCTAAATACAGTAGACCCCCTATAATGTGGATTTGTATATCGTGGCAAAAAAATTGTGGCCACATTCGTATAAAGACGCTAAAAGAGACTCGTAAAATGCGGTAAAACGTCATCGCTGACTCGTGTTGCGACAGGATTGGTTGAATCTGGACCAATAGTGGATGAGCCGCCGAACTACTTACACGCTACCGAGAGTTTAGGCGAGTAAGTTGAGTTTACTATCATCTGTACAGTATATAGACCTAAATTAGGTTCTGTAAGTCTTAATACAGTACTGTAATTGTGTACATTTCTTGTGAAAAAAACATTTCTTATTCAACGGCCATAAAAATTATTTCTATTAATGATGTCTCCAAAGTTCAACAAATTTTTCGCAGAAAAATAACTTATCAGAAAACGCGGCCACTGTTTGGTGCGCTGCTCTGCGACGAAAACAGCTTAAGCAATTGTGTGGTCGAACACTCGGTAAGTAATCCTACAATTTTTTGTTTATAGCATAGTTTATACGGATTATTCCCAAAAAATTATGTGTGTTTTGGAAATGTTGAGTGAAATTAATATAGAATCAATTAATTTTATGGAAGAAAACCTTTTAAATAGCCGTAGTCCGTAAATTGCACACGTGTCAGGCTGTGATTTGCTTATGTATTTAAGGATTCCTATAACACGAAATTCTTATAAAGTGAAACGTATCTACTGTGTTATAGGGGGTTGACTGTATATAAAATTAATTTGGACTGACTGACTGATTAGGTTCAGTGGTTTGCTCTTGTCGATGATGAATCAAAGAGCTGAAATTTTGTACGCAGTTAGTGTGTGTTTTCATGGCATACCCTAAGAAGGAATTTTTTGAAAGTCCCCTGTGGGGGGAGGGGGGAAAGGATTAAGGCTTAACCTGAAGAATGGCTTCTACTGTACTATTTTAGATGCGATTTTTTGTTTTTAACTACGTTTAGTTTTCATTGAGTACTTAGGTGTATTAAATTGATAACATTTCAGACATTGTTATAAATATTTTTATATATTTCAATTTTTTAACAAAATGTTCAAACCATTTTAAATTCGAATTTGTTATTGCATATTGGTTCGATTATAGAACGATTTCAATTTGATCAATTTTCTGGAACATTTACAAACAGTTCGTTTGATTCTCATCATTCTCAGCGGTAGGTGTTATATAACAATTACTATGGTTGTTGAAATACTGAATATAAATGGGGTTTGCTTGCAAAATCCGCGTGGGCGAAGTTGCGGTTACCAGCTAGTATATCCATATTTTGGTTAGCAACCTGTGGATACAAAACCATATGGCTATGACCCGATGACATTAATCAGCAGTCAGTAAAAAGTTTACTACAAGATAGTGCTGTTCAATCACAAAGGGGGAGGTGACCTTGGTCACCTCCCTTCTGCTACTGTGTGTGTTAAAGTTGGGAGTGTAGAATATTAGAGGTGTAATTGATAAACTGGATGATATTGTGAGTGAGTTTGAGCAGTTTTGAGCTCGTGTGAAACAAACCAAAAAGGAGTAGGGCAGGGGGTTGTGAAGGGGCATTGTGTGATCTGATGAGGCAGATGTGGAGTTATTACTACAGACTGTGAAACAGTTTGTCATTGCTTAGTGTGAATGAGAGATTGATTAAGCCCAGTTGAAATCTGATCCAGCACAAGCTTGTGGTGATTGCTGACTACATCCCTGTTGATACTGCATCGGACGACATTAATTAAGGATGTGTTCTGGGCTAATGGAAAGTTTGGTACCACCAAGATAAATAATAATGGTGAAAGGGGGTGTCTTTCTGTAATGAACACCTATTTCAGGCATCTTGATATTCACATATATACATGGGAAAGAAGGGACTTGCAACAGAGGAGTATGATTGATCTTGTGCTGTGTGATGAGCAACTGAAGGGATCAGTGAGAAACACTAGGGTCATGTGAGGTGCTAACTGTGACAGTGACAGTGACCATTTCTTAGTTTTATTCTGACTGCATCTTCACACATTTCTGCCACCTAAATTGCATTTGCAATGGACATACAAGTGCATGAACATTTCATACAAAAAATGTCATGAAAGTGTACAAGCATAGAGGATAAATGGGTGTGTTTGAATGCTCTAGTAATGAGTGCCACGGATATATGCAGTAATGTGAAAATTGGTAAGAAAGCAAAGAATGCTCCTTGGATGACTGACAGTGTGTGTGAAGCTGTACTAAAAAAGAAAAAAGGGATATGAGTATGCTTGCAGGTAAAATGGAACTGTGTGATTATATATATTTGAAATGGGAGACTTACACGTAGCTTACTCTCTTTCAGCAAACTTATCTTTGCAAGAATTGTAAATGTGTGTCTAATGATTTTGAATCTAACAAAAAGTTGTTTTGGAAAAAAGTAAGAAGTGTAAAAGGACTGAATGAGTACCCTATCTCTGATCTCCAGTACCGTATGGTCTCTGTCGGAGTAAACTGTGACCAGCTTGGGACCCAGCGTTGTAGGAGCCACTGGGATGCCTCTTCCAGGGCCACAGTTCCGCCTAGAACACAGACTCCTCCTCCTTCGGTCTGACCAACTGACTGTACACTTGAAATATACACTGATGACTCGAAAGATGGCAGCCTAGTAGGTGCTGCATATTGTCTTTTCTGATGGAGTTCAACACCACCCCCTCAATCTAATCCTATCCTGTAGGCAGGATGGACCCTCAGTATGTCTGCCCGACAACCAAGTTTGATGATTGAGTACCTCTGATTACAGTGTTTCACCTCTAAACCTTCTATTCTTGTCCTATAGAAGACTGCCTGCTGGCTGACTACCAGGGGCAACCCAGTAAGAACCAAGGCTGCCTCCGTGGACACAGTTCTGTATGCACGGATCACCTGCAGGGGTGTAATTGTGCTGTTTTGTAAAGATAGTTGGCGCGCACAGCCTTGTCACAATTATCGTGCTACAAGCCTGCTCAGCATTCCAGGTAAGGTGTATGGGGAAACTGTTTGTACAGTGCCTGCAGCAAGTGACTGATGGTAAAGTGTGGGATGTGCAAGGTGTTTGTTTTAGGAGTGGTACGAGGTAATTTCAGGAGTGGCTGATCATTGAGAAGCAAACTTTCTTTGCTTCTCAATGAAAGTTTTTAGTACATTCTGTCAAGCATAAAAATCTATGGAAGTTGCTGTGTGTGTCCTACCTCCTCTGAATTCTTTGTGCACCTTTGTCCACCCCCCCATCTGAATTGCAATGAGTCTGTGGCTATTTAATATCTTTTTGGATGCAGGTGTGTGTGAAGCTTTGACTGATGACCATCAGTCAAAGCTTCACACACACCTGCATCCAAATGATTTAAGTTGGGAATGAGAATATTCATGTGTTGTATGCAGATGATACAGTGCTGCTAATTGAAAATGAGGAGAAAATGCAGAGTATGCTTAGCTGATTTAACAAGGTGTTGCAAGAGAAAGGGCTACGAATACATGCTGATAAGACTAAGTGCATGGTGTTTGAATGTGCTAAGGTTGATAGGACAGCTTGCCACTTGATGCTGGATGGTGTGAATGTGGAACAAGTGGACAACTTCATAACTTGGGGAGCATGGTGCACTCTGCCCATGCTCCCCAAGTTATGATGTGGTGATAGTGATGGTGGGTTGAAGGGGGAGATAGACAGGAGAAAAGAAGCTTGTTTGAAAGTCATTGGTGTGTTTAACTGCCTGTTTTGGAATGAGTGTACATCTAAGAGTGTAGGATTATCTGTATGCAAGCAAGTGCTGTTACCTTCCTTGTTGTATGGGTGTTAACGTGGATGTGGCAGAAGAAACTTGAAAATGGAGTGAATGCTGTAGAACTGAGAATGCTGCATGTAGTTTTTGGCAAGATGCTCATGGATAGGATAAGGAGTGAAGGGATTCATGAGTTGTGTGGAATGCAAAAACAAGCAAGTGAACGGGCATAAGGTGAGGTGTTTTGGACATGTGGAGCAAATGAGCAATGAATGATTGTTGAAGTGAGTGTAGTGCTATGCACTTTTTTCTTGTAAATTATATTTTTTGTTTTGCTTATTTTTTCATTATATGTGTCAGGTTTTGTTATTTTTGTAATGCGTGAATGTCATTTTTCCTTCGTGTTGTGCACCACCTTTTGAGAGGGGGTGGTTGGTGGACTGTTGGTTGGCTGTTCAAGAGACCACGTGATAGGAGGCGGGAGATCTGAACAAAGGGGAGATATAAAAGGGTGACCCCACAATGGGAGTGCTTTTTTGTTTTCCATAACCTGCGTGTGCTGGAAGAACCGTTACAAGACCAAGGAGAAGGAAGGTAAGAGTCGCCATATATGAACTGGAAGAGATCGAAGGGGAAGGAAAGAAAAATCCAACTACATCAACATGTGAACGATATGAGGAACAATATCTCCAATTATAGAAGAAAGAACTTTGTGGGTTAGAAACACTTGCTACATTATTTTTGTGATTAATAACATTTTTCCGACACGTGATTATCAACCCCTTTTGTTATTGAATATGAAGAATTGTGTGCAAGCAGATCGATGATATGGATGCTCCTTGTAATTAACTGTAAAATTTTAACTATCGGATTTGTAATTAGCGAGCCGATTGTACCAATCAGGTATTATTGATTGCTATATGTACATGTTTATAAATTGTTTATGATTATCTATTGGCTCTGAGGTGTGTGGCAAGTGACCTAGGGGCCACCTGCCAAAGAGACTGACAGATTGTGTGCAAAGAATATTATGAGTAGGTGTGATAAATGTGTACAAAAGGCCTCAATGAGTGTAGAAGAAGCAAGAGAAATATGTTGTCATAACATTTTTTTTTTATCTGTGGCATATAGTGTGTATTATTCTCTGTTAATAGTATTGTACAATCAATTGTTTGGAGTTTAGATAGTTTAAAATGATCATATAATGTGAAAGAGTTATTCTGATGTAAAGTTATTGCCACTGTGAAAACTATATTAGTTGTTTTAAAAGCTTATGGCCTGTATATTATGATTGATGGAAGGAAAGAGGTTGCTGGATGACTGAGGCAGTAAAAAAATATCAATCTGCTATTTAGTTGATTGATATTTTTTACTGCCTCAATCATCCAGTTGGGAATGTCAGAAATTTTTTGACTTGTCTGATCTAGATATGTTGGGCATGGGTAAAAGGTTCACTTATAAGGGAACTGTCGGAGTGTCTTCTAATAAATTTTAGTTAATAACTACGTTAAAAGTATACAAACTCTATTTTAAATTTGTAGCATTCACTAAAAGTGTTGATCAGAGTTATAAGCAATCAAATGTTGCACTACTTTACAGTAGTTTAGCACAGTTATGCAAATTTTTAGAAGTGAAAGGGTCGCGGAGGAAGACGGCGATATTACATTTAGAATAAATTCTGGAATTTTCAAAAATGGTTGAAGAATTAATAAAATTTAGTTAATTATTAACCATTTTTGAAAATTCCAGAATTTATTCTAAATGTAATATCGCCGTCTTCCTCCGCGACCCTTTCACTTCTAAAAATTTGCGTAACTGTGCTAAACTACTGTAAAGTAGTGCAACATTTGATTGCTTATAACTCTGATCAACACTTTTAGTGAATGCTACAAATTTAAAATAGCGTTTGTATACTTTTAACATAGTTATTAACTAAATTTTATTAAAATTTATTAGGAGACAGTTTCCTTGTTAGTACCCAAAGAGCAGAGTTAAAGACTGAAAGGGAAAAATGGGAGAGAAGGTAATTGTGGATTGGTAATGGTATGAAATGAATATGGTAGTAGTATTGCTTCCAAGCTGTACTAAATCTTAGTGGAATTAATTTTAAATGAGACTATACTAAGAGAAGTTATCTGTTTAATCATTGCAATACAAACATAGTTTGACCCTATTAAGTAGTCTACTTTTTTTCCAGTATCTATTTACTTTTCCATGTGTCTGATGAAAATTTTTGATTATGTTCACTAGTCAATAAGAAAAAGAAGTTTGATAACCAAAACAACAAAAAAATTGAATAACTAGTTTTAAGTGAAATTTAACTTGCAGAATAACTTATAGCTAAGATAACCTTCTTATAGGGCTTACTAGCTTAGGTTCTGTATTAATTTTAGTATTAGATTAAAGCTTAAATCTTTACTCTAGCTTATATGTAGCTGCATTACTTATTGGTGTATGTTACAACTCAGGTTTTCTTTTCAACCCACAGCCTTGCAGCTTAAAAACTGCATGCCAACATTTAATGTAGAGAGAGTAGAAACCTCATGTATGCTGCTCAGAGGAATCCTTCCCTTTTTCTATCAGCTAAACCCTTATTTATACTTAACAAAAGACAATGGCCATACACTATGTTCACCAGTCTGCTTCAGGTGCAACAAGCCTTAGCTTTCCAAAATGTTATAAAAGTTTAAGTTCATTCCATTTAGGAATGTTATATAACTATTAGATCTTGGCCCTAACATGTCATTATAAAATGTAGACATTGTCACTGCATGGCAAATAATCTTGTGAATTTGCACATTCACTGTCTCTGGAAGCTTTATCTTTAGTCAGATTGCCAGATATATAATGTTTGGACATATACACCTATAACTAATGAGGGGTTGATGATACTTAACAATGTATAAAGAATTAGATTGTAACTCTGTAAACCCCTATGATTAATTATACTAGTGTACATTTAAACCTATTAAAGTTATGAATTGATCACTTTGGGCAAGATTAAAGGAACATAGCTACATCATCTGCCATGATCATGGTACTGGCTTGTTATGCCAGTCTTGGCCAATGATGACTATGAGACACTAAATTGATTGAAAACACAAGAACCTTGGAAATCCTCAAAATCTTTGAGGTGTGATCAATTGAAACCTGTCTGGGCTCCCATTGCTTATGTATCAATCAGTGATGGTAGGTGAGGTAAGAGGTAAATATGGGATCAATGTGCTGTGATTCAATGCAGAAGGCTGTCAACAAGTGAAATTCATCAATGAATAAATGCTATATATAGTGAGAAATGTGTATCAAAATTGACAGTGAAGGATTGGGCATGCAAATTTCAGGCAGGTGTATGTTATTGCAACTGATGAGTTTGTTGCTAAAATCAACAACACTGTACCGAAGATTGTTGGAGAAGCTTATGTTCACATTATTCTGAATTGCCAAATAACACACCATACTCTGCTGCATATGATGAATAAATTGTATTGAAAAGTCTGTCTGTAATGGGTTTTACAGATACACTGATCCTTATGGTTAGCAGTCAGTATCGGTTTGTGCTGGTACAAATAATATAGTGATGGCTTCCTACTATGCATACTGGTTGATGATGTAATGTGGTGCCACCATTTCAAATCATCTAGCAAAGCCATCAGTATGCAACATAAGCATGCCAGCTCACCAAAACCCAAGAAATTCAAGATGCAACCTTTTATGGGCAAAGTGATGCTGATAGCAATTTTTTTTCTTTTTACTATAAACACCAGCAATAGCAGTCCTTCAAAGAGCCTGGCAATACAGTTAATTCTCAGAGCTACACTCAGACACTGGACATGCATCAAGACATCAGGGGAAGCATCTGGTATGTTTGCTATTGTCATAAAGAATAATGACACCATATAAGAAAGAGAAGGATGTTGTTGAGCATCCATCCTGTAGCCCTGATCTATCCAATCTTGTAACTTTTGCAAAGAAAAATTTTTGGTACTTTCTGCAAAACACAGTACATGTTTGTCAATCAGCTTACTGGTTGAAGCTACATATTTTGAATGAGTCCTGTGATAAGACAACTTTGCATGAAGATCAAATTACCAAATATGAGAAATCCATCTCATGTAACATTTGCAATACTGCTATCAGTCATCTATTAACATATTGTCAATTTGGAATTGTATCTCATACTTCAAACTGTATGCACAGTGAAAAATGTACTCTTAAGTGTAAAATAAAGTTTTTGTAACTGTTATAATTAAATTTCTCAACTTAGAAAATAAACACAACTAATACGTTACTGCTTTGTTCAAAAGCTTAAGATAGATTTCACATATTTTTCTCTTCAACCCAACTTATTGCATGGGATCCAAGAAGTGTGTGGATGCAACAAAGTCTAAGAAGAAAGTCATAATATGGACGATTGAGATGCACAAAAGTGGTATGCATATGGTGGATCTAGTGGCCATATTTAAGATGCCCAAGTGAATAAATGCAATTTTCATTTTCTTACACCATAGAAACTTATAACAAAATGTAAGCATTAATTTAAATAATTGGGCTAACTCTACTTAATATTAAATCATTAAATTAGTAATTTGCTACTAGAGCTGGACATTAGGTGTCATCTCTTTAAATAATTAAATTAATAATACAGAGTTATAGCCCAATTATAAATAAAAACATAATAAATTTAAAACAGCAAATACATTTATTTAGGACATATAATTTGAGGTAAAACTAACACAATTATAATAAAATACAAAAATAACAACCAAATAATTGCCTTCATGATGTTTGATATACTTATTATATAAGTATATCAAACATCATGAATACATTTAATTTATCAAAATAGGCATGGTTTAGGATCTGAAAATAGATTAATTTGCTTTCCATTGCTTTTGACTTCAAACAATTTTTTCCATTAAAAGTAGTTTCCTGGAATGAATTAAATTCGAAGTATGAGGCACCACTTCCTCTTAAAACTTCTATTCATCAAAAAGTTTGATTGAAAATGAAGGAAAAAGCAATATTGCAGGAAGTGCACATGCAAATCATGCCTAAATGGTCAAAACTTGCGAAATAAAAATGTTAAATTTAGAAAGCCATGTTTCTTACCAGATTATAAATAACTTACAATTCTTAAAATTTTGAGTAAATTTGGATATTCATCAAAATCCAAAAAAGAATTTAGTTCCCCATTACTTAATCTATAACTGATAATAGTTGAAACATTGCTCTCACATTTTGGACAAGCTCCAGCATAGTTTATGAAGACATTAAAAACTTATGCAATACCAACCTGAAACTTTGTTTTTGTTCTTGCTCCTAATGGATTTCACTCAAAGTTTCAGGTTGGTATTGCTTGACAAGATTCAATATGAAATGTTTCTTAATATGTTTACCTGTTTGATAGCTGATATACTTTTTCTGATCTTCGCTGAATCTGTGACTTAAGATGTATGAGTTCCCACAAAAAGTGAGAATCTCCATCTTTCATAGTTGCAGCACGTACTTGAACTTCGGTTACTGGTATAAGTACTTGATAACGAATAATTTCGACTTCTGAAGAACCAGTTTTACTTGAACTACCCTAAAATTAAAATATGAAAATAAATTTCAAATTCACAAATTATCATAAATTATTATATTGGAAAAACCAATAAATAAAACAAGTTTATAAACTCAAATACTAAATTAAGATTGAAGGACCTGATCTTTGGATAATTCTAGTTTGAAAATAATTCAACATATATCAAAGGCCAAACATACCTTTAAAAAAGTATTTCTTTGAAAAATTATAAATATGAAATATTTATCAAATTTGTAAAGAATCAGATAAATAACACACATTTAATAATGAAATTATAGAAAATCATAATATGCACACCAAGGGTGATGGTTATATTTTTCAAAAAATAAATAATTTGAAGATTGCACAAAAATAGTTTTGTTTACTTTTTTAGTTAAAAGTTTGAATATTTTGTTCTTACTCTTAATCAAAGAGAAAATTTGACATCACCAAAAAAATAATAATGTACTACATTCCATGCTATGTTTTTAAAATGTCAGATTTAGTGACATCTGCACAACTTTGTTCTATTAAATGCACGTATTCAGTAAATCAGTAGTTAATTTTTAAAATGTTCAAAGGAACTATAAATATTGATCTGAATTTTTTAACTAATTTTTTAAAAATTACATTAATTTCAAGGGAGATAATAGTGGATCTGATTTATCCAATGATTAATTCAAGTCAAGTTTCATGTGTTATAATATCATGGTGAACTTTATGACAATGATTTTAGCATTAAAATATACATTAGAAGTGAAGTGAAGTGAACTTAACAATAGTTCTGAATTAATTCAAGGAGGGGGTTAAAAACTTGCATTGAAATTTGATTTAATCAAAAAAAAAAGTTTATACAATAGAGCCTCTATTATCCGACCCCCGATTAACCGACCGTTCTAGTCGGCAAATTTCACATGTCTGCTAGTGATGTGGCGCTACATTTTTTGGCTATGTCTTGGCTACTTTAATATTATTTTTACGTGTTTTAGCTGGCAACACTCATTCGACCATGAAAAGGAGCCAGTATTTAAACGAGGCTTAATTTTCTAATTTTTAACGATACAATAGCAACAATTATTTAAAAAAATTTTTGTTAGGCTTAACATGGAGGAAAATTCAACACGAAGTAGGTTAATAGCAATATAGTAATTACATGGGATATAATAATATACTACACTAATAATGGATTTTTTCATACTTTTCGGTTATCCGACTTTTTAATTATCCGACCAACCCCAGTCCCCAATTGAGTCGGATAATCGAGGCTCTACTGTATTCGAAAAATAGAATAAAGCTACACCAACTGTGTCATGTTTTGTAGGATGTTTAAATATATTTATATTCTATTTTTTCAATGCAATTATTTTATTGGAGAATACACAACACACCTTATGATTGTATAATTTTCTGAATTTATTATTTTTGTTCTTAAATTATAACTCAGTATTTTTAATATATATTGTACTTACTGAAGAATATTCAAAATTTTTATCAAGAACGAATTCCTCAGATGTTTTAGGTTAAAACAACAATTTATTACAAAATAAAGACAATATAAAATATATAGAATAAAAGTTAATATTCAAGCTATATATTTTGGTAATAAGTTTTAAATGAAAATGATTTTTATGTACTTACTAATCAGGCAATGTCACATTTTTTCCCACTCTAAGAAATTACCCTTAATATGAAACTTTAAAAATTGTAAATATTTACAATTTTTAAAGTATGGTGAATGATCAGGAATATTGATTTTAAAAAGAACTAAAAAAGGATTTCTTTTTTTAACAGTTATAATAATGAACAAAATTATAAAATTTGCAAAGTTCAAGCATACAACAGAATAATGATTAATTGTGTGGCAAGAAGTATATCATTATCTGTGGTGCAAAATTCATCACACTGTTTTCTAGGGTACAGCTGTCGAAATTTTGACAGTCAAAGAAAACAACAGTAAAGTATAATCAACCGTTTTCTCATTTACACATGGTTGAAAAGGATTCTTGTCATTTACAAATGAGTCTTCTGCAATCTGTTATATTAATGTATGGATGGAATTTCAGCAGGATGATCTTATTTGTATTTCATACAACAGTTTTAATTTCTGTAATAGGAAAGGGTCTCAAATATGTGCTATTTTTTGTTTTGAAGTATGCATTTTAAATATTGCTATATATTTATCCAGGTAGTAACAACAATTAGAAACAAATAAATTTACATTTACTTGTTACTAATTGTTTCTTTGTAACAAATTTTAACAATAAAATTGAATTTCATAAAATTACTATTAAAACTTACCATTAACTTTTTCTTTTGACGAATTCGTTCTTTACACAGAAAAACAACTGCAGTTTTAAATACAAAACACATTGCATGTAATTCTAAGCCTTTCTTTATTTTTCCTAAAAATTCTGTTATGTTGAGCCATTCAACTCCTCCATAATAAAGCAATTCACCAGGACTTAGATCAACATGCTGAAAGATATTATATAATCATCAATACCTTGTAATGAAATTTATTACTTAAATTCTTAAAATATAGAGATTTTTCTATAAGATCAAACTAAAGAATGAAAACAATTTAGTGTAATTTCTCTATATACTAAGTAACCAAAATTTCTACAGAGTCAAACTTCTGAAATTACCCTAATATCACAAAAACACAAACATCCTCCTATATTATACTACTTTACTTTTGGGGAGGATATCAATTGTCTTATGACATTTTGTATGTGCAATAAATAAATAATGCCCATAATAAAAAATTGTTATCTCTTTTTTTATTTGTATTTTAATCAAAATACATGATAAAAAATATACATAAAAACAAATGATTTTGTTGACTAACACAGCAGTAGCTCTTTAGGAAAGAATAACTATTAATTGGTTGTCCTGATAGTATTTATGGATCAAATTTAATCTTAAAAGAACAAAAATAGTGGAAGAGGTGGCAGGCTTAAAAAATTGGATATCGTCTCATACTTTAAATACTGTATTTAGGCATTTATTTTACACTCAGTTACACTAGGTGCTAAAGCAAAAATTTTGAATCTCATAACTTAATAGCATGTTGAATATCCTGTAGTAGTTAATTAGATAAGTATTTTATATCCATTTCCTATATAGTGGAAAAAAATACAAACAAAAAATTTGTTTATATTTTTTTCCACTTTACCAACAATTAGTTTTCTTCAGACATTCTGTTCCAGAGCCTGTGATGAGAATAGAATTAGATTAACAGCCAAAGGTGACCACCTATCATTGTGTTTGCTATGACTCTTGAATAAAATTATTTCTCCACCGAATAATGATTACAGACAATTGATTTATAACAAATTATTGCACTCAGTAACATGACTTCCCAGGAGATGTGGCCCACCACTATTAATAAATTGTTAAACAATCTTGGATTGTCCTTTGTCAGCTGTTTGGAATTTCCTAATGAAAAATTGTTTCTTTCAATCTGCAAAAAAAAGATTAAGAGACAAACACATCTTGAAGCCAATATTTGCGAATGAAAGAATATAATTTCAAAATATTGGAGAAAATCTCTTGGTGTCCATCTTTAATGATTTTATTTAATTTTATAATTTATATTAATTTATTATAATAAACTATTCAGCTTTGTCTAAATAGATATACAATTATTCTAAAAGGGAAAATAAATAATATACAGGTAACCCCTGTATAACATGGGAGTTACGTTCCAAAAAATTGCCGTGTTATGTGAATTCGTGTTATACGAAACAAAGAACTAATGCGAAAAAGGGGGTTAAGTTCCAAAAATTAAAATACATACTGTTAAATCCTTATTTAAGTCGGATTTATTATTTATTTATTTTTTTCATAGAAAAAATACTTATTTATTATTTAAGTAAATATTTTACTAGAGGATTATTCATCCTATATGATGATCTCAGCGTGAGCATCATCAACTGGTAACAGTTTTTTGTGTGCATTCGTTAATAGCAGTCGCTCTGCAACGGGAGTGCGTTGCTGTTTGTAGGCATTTAGGAACAACGGTGAAAGAAAGATGGTGGTGCCCACACTATCGATAGTATCGTGATGGAGGAATCTATAATTCTAAAATGAGCTTTTAGAGGCAAAAGAAGGGTCCCAATTGTAAAATTTAACCATTAAATGGATTATGGTTGAAAGAGCATTCAAAGTAGCCACGAAAACAATTAGAATGCTTGCGCAGAGTTACGTGGAAGTATAAAAGAAGCACCCTTTGTTACATTTCATGTTGTACGAGGGTTTTACCCAATTCCCGAACCATGTTATACGGGGGATGTTCCCAATTCTTGAACCATGTTAGAGTGAATCCGTGCTATAGAAGTGCCGTGTTATATGGGGGTTACCTGTACTGAATAATGTTGAATGCTTGTAACAAATATGATAAGCCATCTGTTTGCCATGCAAACCGTTTTCTGAAATAAGATCATCTATTTTCGGGCTTGATTTCAATTATATTAATTTATTGGATGATAGCCTCAGTATGACAAAGCTGTACAAATTTTATTTAAACATTAAAATTTTTGTAAGTTTTTAAATCTCTGACAGTTGAGTGATTGACTTTTGAACCTGTCAATGAATGTCACTGACATATTAAAATTTGTTTCTATATAATACCTTTATATAAAGGGAGGGGGCTTTTAAGATATTACACACTTCTACTTGAAGTTCTATCATCAATTAAAATAAAGATTGTTCTCTTCCATTCTCTTCTGTTTCAATATACAAGTCTTACTTTTTGTTGTTCAGAAAGAGCATTGTGAATATAGATGAATGCCTGCAGTGCTTAAAGGATTTTGTATGTTTTCTAAACATGTTCTTGGTGACTTTAGACAAAGGACAAGCTGCTTGATGAATTTGTAATTGAGAGTTAAAATGGGCAGATAATACACATCTGCTTTTAAATTGACTTTTAAACATTGATAACCCATGAGTTATCCACATGAAATTATTTCTGACATAGTAAGAAAGGCTGTATCAAATTATTTTAAAACATTTGTAGCATAAACAAAATATTATTATTATAATATTCATGTAAAATATAATAATAATATCTGGAAATATTTAAAAGTATATCCAATGCCAGATATTGAAATTAAACTATTGAAATATAGAAAAAGAAACAAATCTGTTTCTGTATTTTCAGGTTTTTCTAATAATATGTAATTACATAAAAGTTTTATATGATTAATTTAAGATAATAAAAAAAATTGTCATTCTAACTTATTTTATTAACTGTCTTTATATAAATGAGAAAAAAATTATAATCTTCTTCTCTTAATATATTATGAAATAAAAGTTTGAAGAATTTTAAATTAAATTTGGTTTGACAGTATAAAAGCATTATACATACTTGTTTGGATGACTTAAGATGTTGACGATGAAGATGATCAAAAATAGCACCATATTCTTCATGAATGCGTTGCATTTCATTAATATGTTCAGCAACTCTTTCCATTCCCTTTAACGCTTCTAATTAATATATTTAATTAAAGTAAAATAAATTTAAATAATCACAAATTTAACTTTTTAAACAATATTTAGTGATGATTATTCTATGTTCTATTATAATATTTATTATTTAATGTATAAAATATTTGACAGAAAGTCAGATTTGTTAAATTTTAAATGTATTTGTAGCAGGGCTGCAGAGTCCGTAAAAAAAAAATTTGACTCCAACTCCTGATAATTTTAGTAGGCAGACTCCGACTCTGGCAAAATTAAATACCAAGTCATGTTATGGGGGGAAGAGATGCTCATAGGGGTTACAATAGTCTGAACTCTGAAAGGAGCCCTGGGCTTTTACTCAAATACTTTTATAGTTAGTATTTTTAATATTTAACTGAAAAATTACATTAATATTTATTTGTATAAAAAAATTAACAAATATTTAATAAGAGGAAAAAGGGGAGCAATAAAATTCTACATCTACATATCTTTAATCTACAGCTTTTGCACTTTAATTTCACCTTTCCAGAATAGTTAGTTAAACTAAAACGTGTGCAATCTAGCTACTTCAGCCCCTTTTTCAGAGAAGAAAAATATATACTTTGATCAATTAGTCTGTCTCATTCAGAAAAATAGAGCACTTATTTAGAGCAGGGATAAGAAAGTAATGAATGAATAATATTCAAATTCAATTGGTCAAAATAATTTAACTACTAAACACAAATACTACAATGAAAATTATTGATACATATTTAATAAATTAAATTGTTGTGTTTTGTATTTAAAATAAATGAATTACAACAAAATACAAATACATTTTTAAAAATTAATAAATATAAAATTAATTTAGTTTTTTATTTAAATGAAAGAAAATTTAATTTAAAATGCTGGAATCGGAGTCGGAAAAAATGTGTCAACTCCTCTGGACAGAAACTCCTCCCGACTCTGACTCCACAGCCCTGATTTGTAGAAAATAGTTCTAATGAACTTTTAATAAGTTTGAATATTTGTTTTAGTTTTATTACTTAAAATTATATCAAAATTAAATATACATGATAGTAATTTTATTAAAGAAGAAAAAATTAATAAAATTTTTAATTTTAAAATTAATAATAAGTTCAAATTATTCTAGAATATATGATAGAACACACATTTCTCATTTGTCATATATACATTTTTAATTACCAATTTGAGGAAATTTAGTTCCAATATTCATTAATATAAATGAAATGATGACTGGTGATTTAAAAACTTATTGATTTTATTTTCACAAATGATATTTGCAAGATTATTGACTTTAGTTAATCATTATTATGGCAATTTCTCATGTAAAATAAGAACAGAATGAAATTTCTAGTTTCTTTCATTTTATCTTTATTAAGGCAAAAGCGATATTAGAATGTGTATCAAGCTACAAGGAATAATTTTCATGACACTAAAAAAGGAGAGGATGCTGAGAAGAAGGAAATCAAATAGCAACTTAAACTGTTTAAGTTTTACTTTTCTAATCTTATCTATTATTAAACAAAAAAATTATGAGAGTAGGTTTTTACAGTAAATATTACAGAGCAGCCGGATGGCCGAGTGGTCAAGGTAGTAGCCTAACGCTCTGGGGACCAGGGTTTGAATCCGAGTGGGTCGAAAAAACCCCAGGAATTTTTTGGGGGCGGTCCATTCAGATATGTCGGGCCCCGTCCTTCACCACCTGGCAGCCCCATTGTGAGCCTGGCCAAACCCATGATGGGCTTGCAAAAAGAGGCCCTCTTAGTGCCCACAGGGCAGAAAGAGTTAAAAAAAAAAGTAAATATTACATACAACACTTACATGCTTATAAAATAAAACATGTTCAGGAAGCTATTTTTGAATTATTTATTGCGACATCGTCACAATGCCAGGCTGCAATTTTTAATCATATTTTTAATATATTTTAAATTAAATGAATGCTCTCCACCTCAAATTAGTAGTGGCTTGCCCCTGTATATCATACTTTTCCTTTAACAATAGAGTCGTGCTGGAATCCTTTCAGGGGAAAATTTTTGAATTGAAATAACATGACTTCCAGTTTTCATTGGTAGTTTGTATATAGTTTGTATATTGGGGCTCCTGCCTCTAATGTTTCTATATCTGGTCTTGTCTTTCCTTAATCTCAAGAACGGAGTTAGATGAAAGACAGGCAGATGGACAACAGTAGGAATTTATAGGTTTACAATTTTTTCAAATTGAAGCCAAAAAAGTATACTTTTAGTTTCACTAATGTTACTGGAGAAAGCTTACAAAAATGAGATATTAGTGGCATGTGAATCTTCAAAAATTTAATTTACAGAAAATTAATATAACTTATGATATAGGCAAAGGAAATACAATATTGTTAAGATATATTAAAAATCTGAAAAGAAACTTAATATTGGCCTATAATAATCACAAGTTAAAACTTTATAAACCAAGCTTTTTAATTTTTTCTTCATACTTTGTATTTCTATTTGTAATGCTTCAGTTTCTTCCTCTGCCTGCAATAACACATTTTTTCCTTGTTTTCAATTCTTTCATTTTTTCCAGTGCAATGTTTTGTTCATTTTTTTTCATTAACTTTCTGTTTCCTTACGTTTTGTAAAGTATCTTGTACTGCTAATAACATAGTTCAGCAAGTAATGTATTAAATGTTGTTATCACAAGATCTGACTGCTGAGAAATTGTCAATGCTGATTTTCAACTAAACATTTCTTATGGACTGAAAATCTCCTTTATATAATAGAACTGCCATGAAAAATATATATTTTATTCAAATGTAAAAAAAAACTTATCAAACTTGTCTTTTTCTATGCTAAAAGTTTTTAGCTTTTTTCTGAAACTTTTATCCTTAGAGAGTGTTGATACAATTTGATACAATCAACATCTATTTCAGTAACTATACCTTTCATAACATATTCATCCCAATTACAAGTCATTTTCAAGTCAAATGACCCACTTTCAAGTCTGAAGTTAACAAATGAAGATAGACATGAAGCTCCTCTTATTTTGCAATCATTTAACAGCAATTTCTTAATTATCTTTTCAAAAACCTCAATCACATCTGAAAGAAAGACTTTTCTTCTTTTCAAAAAAGACCAAATGACATGGCATCAAAACCTATATCAATGTCCCTTAGACATAGTTGACTTCCTACCTGCACTGTATCCAATGAAAGAAGATGCTTAGCAATTTTGATGGAATTTAACATTTTTTCAGAAAACATTTTACAATACTGTATTACATATATTTTATAGTAGAAAGTACATAAAAATGGTACAGGTGGTTTTTGTCTGACTGAAAGTGTCTCAAAAATGGTTCTAAATCAGAAGCAATTGATTACAGAAATAACAATTCTGCTGCCAGTAATTCATTACATAGAAATTTTTTGACAACATGGAAAGTGTATGCCTTAAGGAGGATAGAAATTTTTTGACAACATGGAAAGTGTATGCCTTAAGGAGGATAGTTAGTCACAGCTTAACATTTTCGTTTTGGTTCCTTTTAAAAAAAAAAATAAGTGCTATTTCAATAACTTGACCATTTTCCATCTATCTAATGAAGCATATCTCAGATTTTTATTTATTTCCTGTTGTGTAGAAAATAAAATCTGCTCTTCTTGATAGGAAATCTTTAAAAAGATAATAAATGACATAAAGATACTGATTTATATTCCAATCAACACTGGAATGTGCACTTTTATATACTCCATGAACATGTAAGCAGCGTGTTCCTGAATCAATTAATTAACATTACAATCTATATTTTCTGAATTTAAATGGACTTTAAAAAGAATCTCACAAATTGAAATGGATGGACCCAATGTAAATTTAACATTTTTGAGAAATCTTAAAGTCCATTTAAACTCAACATCTGAAATAAAGCCTTCTAACAAAGCATTGGCTGTAGAATGTTGTAAGAAAACTGATGTAAGGTAACGGAACCTTAATCAGCAGAAACCTCTTGATATATACAACTATTGTTAAGGCTGAATAACTTCTACAGATTCAATAAAGATCAGATGACTATAATAGAATTTATTAAATAAAATTCACTCAAATTATTACAAATTAACCAGTCTGTTCCCTAGCTTTAGTTAGTGGTAAGGTATTAAGGTTATTCTATAAAGCAAAGTTTAGTCATACTATAAAATATGTTAACAAAGATGTCATTAATAAATAAAAATATGACTTTATAAAATATTTAACATATACATACATTTAAAAGATATTACATTTAAACAAAACCTTAATACTAATCATTTTGAATGTATAAGGTAACAGATATGTATGAGAGGAGTCTAATATTAAAGGTACAGCCCAAAATTACACTAACATTTATAATTAAAGAAAATATTTAAGACATTCCACAAAAACTATATACTTTTGTTTACTTCTTGGCATAATTGCCTTAAACATTTAGACATTTATCCCAGCATGACACTAGTTTGAACATCCCTTCACAGTACTGTTGCTTGTCAAGTTGCTTGAAGTAGTCCAGAATAGTGTCTTCCAATTTCTCCTGATCTGCAAAGCATTTCCCCGCTAAAAATTTCTTTAAAGGTTCAAATAAATGAAAATCCAAGGGGGCTAAATCTGGATTATACTCCACACGTCAAATCAAACCAAACTCAGATTGGTACAGCATAATTAGAAGGTCTGCTATACAGAGAAGGTCCTGTTGCAGGACCTTCTCTGTATAGTCCAAATTTAACCCCCTGTCAGATTTTCATTTATTCGAACCTTTAAAGAAATTAAATAATTATTATTGCCTTATTGTCCTTATTTCAATTCTTATTATATTTGTCAACTTGGACTTAAATTATTAATAGGACTGTTAAACTGGTGTTACGTATTAATGCAAAATTGAGCTAAAGTTCTTAAAGAAACCAGAAAGGCTCAATAAAGAAAGTCTGGTTTCTTTAAGAACTTTAGCTCAATTCTGTATTAATACTTAACACCAATTTAAGAGTCCTATTAATAATTTAAGTCTGAGTTGACAAATATAATAAGAACTTTAAAGAAATTTTTGGGAGGGAAACACTTTGTGGACCAGGAGGAATTGGAAGACACCATTCTGGACTATTTCAAGCAATAGTACCACAAAGGGATGTTCAAACTAGTGTCACGCTGGGATAAATGTCTCAACATTTACAGCAATTATGTCGAGAAATAAACAAAAGTATGCAGTTTTTGTAGAATGTATTAAATATTTTATTTATAAATGTTAATGTAATTTTGGCCTGTACCTTTAATATCGGACTCCCATCGTATACAGTGCTCCCACCTGCTTCTGGTGGAACTACCCTGATGGTGCCTTTGTTTTACCCTAGATTGAGAAAACAAACATCATCAAACTCATGCTCAGATAAAAAAAAAATAAGAAGAACGATTCTATGATGCAGATTCCTGTTATCGTAAAATAATAATCAGAACAATTCTTAATTCATTGTTTTTAAAAATCTTAATAACTAAAATGTCTTAGGATTTTTAGGCTTTAATCAGAGGTATTAATTTACATCTGATATGGAGATACAGTAATTAATGTTTTAGTTTGGTAAGCCCACTTTGAAAAACAAGAAAAATCTTTCCTGGTCTTTAAATAATCACAAAGTATATCCATAAGTCTAATGAATTCAATTATTTAACTTAATTTTAATTAATTCACTTTCAACATGTGTATCTTAGCTGAAGATAGAAAATTAAATAAGCCATTCACTTGATCTCAAACATACTTTGCTACGTAAATGATCAATCTTAAGAATTCATTTATTTACATATATATTTGCATTTTAAAATTTGTTTTGAAGGTTCAAATAAAACAATATTTTTTTTAATACCAGACTGTGTATGCATTAAGTTACAAATGATTTCAGTTTTCAAGGAATGTCTGTGCGATGTCTTACACAAACGTAGCTGACTAAATATTCGCTCAACAGATGCATTGGAAGCTGGTAATATCATCAATAAACTCAACAATTTTTCAAGATTTTGAAACAAACTCTCCAGCAGCATTTTTTAAATTAAATATTTCTGACAAGTAGGATCTGACAGTATGACTTTTTGACCCCAAGTTAAGTAGGGCTTGTTTAAGCCATTCATTGTCTACAACTTGTAAATCAATATTAACATTTTTAAACATTTTAAACAATGGCTCCAAAAACCTCACTGTTAAATTTTGTGAATTTTCCTGATCAAGCAAAAGCAGATATGAAAAAATGTCATTACTGAAATCAAATCTGGCATAGATTTCTTTTACAAGTGTACAATAAAAATTTTTACAATAAAAGCATCAGATCACCTAGACTTACTCTAAATATAAGACTACACTAAACAGTACCCTGAGGTTGAAATTACCCTAGAAAAGAGTAATTACCCTAGAAACGGCAGCACTGCTCTTATATAATGTTATGTTCCTTATTTTTATATAAACAATCCTTATTCTTATACATGCTAATTTGTAAAATTACAGTTTGTATTTAAGATTTAAATTTTAAATTAAGTTTGTATTTAAAATATGATAAAGATAAAACTGCTCAATTTTCAGATAACCAAAAAGATTTATTCAGAAAGGTTTCTAATCAGGCTGGTTCCTACTCTAAAGCTGAAGATGTCTATAATGGTTCCAAGTTTTGTATCCTTCCACATATTATTTGTTTATAAAATATATGAATACATTCATTTTAAATCAAACTTTAAATAAATTATATAGTCATGACAGCAGTTTTAATAAGATTAATCATTTATTACTACTAGTTTTTTTTATAAATTAATAATTATGATAAAAAAATCAGTCTTTGTTAAATAAATCATTATTTGAAATCTTTCTGGTTTGAAATATTAATTAGAGAGACTAACTCTTTAAATGTGAAATTAATAAATGCATATTTTAATGTAATAATATCACTATGCATAAAATAAAAATGATGCAAAATTTCTTGTCAATGATGACAATTTTTAATACCAGCATTTGGATTGAATAATAATAAGTTTCCAATATACATAATTAATAACAAAAATAATTAAAAATATGATATCAAAATTATTAAAATGATCTAAAATACTAAATTTTACCAGCTAAATGTATATGTTCCTCTGAAGATGAATCGGTGAGATGTTTAAGTTGTTGTAAAAGTAATGGATATTTAAGAATACGCTGAATTGGTTTAATGAGGTAGGATTCTAAAGAAAAGGAATGTTGTCCTTTTGGATTACGTGATTGAAGAAATTCCATTAAAGCAGAATTTCCTTCACCTTTAATAAAATGATTATTATTAATATCAATTTTTTATGAACTAGTTTATATGAATACATTCAATTTTAAACATGACTTACTAGGATGAAAAACTTTCTGTGCTTTGGAATGACTTGCACAGAATGAACTATATAACTTGAAATGATCAGCATAATAAAGAAATGAATTTCCTAAGGCAAAAAGAACATTCTGGAAAAGAAATATATAAATTTAATGAAATTGGGTATTTTATATTAATTTAATTATACAACAGAAGAAGAATTTAAAAATAATATTTATCATTTCTGGAAAGTTTGATTGAAAAACAAACAATACAATCTCACAGCATATCCGAGTTTATGATTTTCAATCAACATTTAATTATATAATGTACAACAAATAAACAGTACAAAGAATATGTTTATTATTGCATTACCAAGAAATGCAACATAATACTATAATGAAATTTTATCTTACAATTAACAATTTAGTATGCTGAAATAATGCTCAGTGGAAAAAATGTTATTTATTCCAATGTTTATGATTTGTAATGACAAACTTACAATGTGAGGCACAGTTCTGTACAAATGGACAACATATCTAACAATATGATGCTCTCACTATTGAAAATTTTAGGATTACAGATAATACTGATATTTAGGAAAAAAGAAAAAACAGATTAGAATGTAGGAATACTTGAACTCAAAACTTGTATATATTCAACAGTTAATAATGTAGCATGCCATTCCTGGCAATACTTAAAATTTGGTAACTAAGTGATGTCTATCTATAAAAAAATTAGATTTTCCTTACCAATTAAATATTCTATATATATTATATATCTTGATGCATAAATTTGCAACATGACAGAATTTTTGACAAATGTTTTTTACTCAGAAATTTTTGAAATAAATTTAATTGTTATTGTTTCAAGAATTTCTCATTTCATACTGAAAATTGTAATAAAAACTGTTTGTTGTCTGATCTATAATTTTCAGAATTTTCTGAAAAGCCATCAATAGATAAATATCTTACTGAACTTTTAATTTGGTTTATACAGTATATAATATAACATAGATTTTTTAAAATTAAAACAAAAATAAAATATTACTATTGTTTGTTCATTGTCTTGTGTTTTTGGTTAACAACATAAATTTTACAATAAACATTATAAATGCTACAATTAATATATCAGTATAATTTTAAAACTACTGATAAACTTCAAACAATTAGCAATAAAAATCAATTATTTGATTATATTACAATTTAAATGTTATGTTTTATATCATATCAAATCATATACATTCTTAGATTTTGAGCGTTTATTTAGTTGGCTTTTCATTTAGTCTTATTTTCAACAATTTAAATGAAATGCACAAATTTTTAAGAATTTTATATATTAAGCTAATTTTTTTTTACATAAAAGATCTTACTAATTAAATATTATTGAATTATTAGTTATTAGAAACATTACTTATTTAATAGTTAAACATTAAAATGAACTTGCCTTAAATTGACTAGGATGATCAAATTTGTTAAATTCTGGTTCTGCTGAAATTGCTTCTTCTAAACTTTGGAGGAACACTCTTTGGAACTGTACTATTTCTTGAATATTTCCAAATAAGGCATTCACCTCAACATTTGACAGAAAAGTTTCTTTCTTCATTGGTTCCNATATATATATCTAATTTTATATTATATATTCCCCAAGTAATAAGTCCTTAAATATTATATTTTTATTAAATAATAAAAATCTAGTATTTATTACTAAATAGATTAAAGATACAACTATATTTCATTATGTACAAAAATATTAACACAAGTTTAAAGTATTTTGTAACATTCTTTCTATATTTTTCAAAATTTTTTTCAAGTTTTCATCCAGGCACTTACAATAATTTCTCATATAAAAAATGTTTGTTCATTACTAATAATTGGAACAGCAAAAAAGTTATAATAATTTAATATACATATCTTTAAAGAGAGTTGTTATGGAATGCAATACAACAACTCCTCCAAATTAAAAGTTAAATATTCAAAATGATATATTTATATACAAAAAAACTCATTAAAATTATTTCTTTCATCATCAAGTATCTTAAGACAAAAAAAAAATATTTTAAAATTTTAATTTATATTGTATATTTTTGATTTTTAAAAGTTCCAATTATTCTTATCTTTCCAGTAAATGAACAAATAATGAAATAAATAAAGGATAAGCATACTGTATAAATAATAAATAATGAAAATAAATACAAAGAAAATCTGACTGAAAAAAGTGAATCACAGATTTTTACCTACAAATTATTAATATTCTTTTAAACTCAGTTTTCTTCAATAATCTGATGTATCTTATAATTCAGATGCCATTCCGTTCACTACATTTAATGTGCAATCAACAAAATATAAATTTTGAATGCTTAGTTTTGAGTTATTTATGCTACAAGCTAAACATTTTTAGGATTAAACATATAGGTGTGATATCAGAATTGGGGGAGGAGGAGGAATAAAAATAACCATTAAAGTTTGTAGCTGGAAGAGAGGGTTGTTTTTTTAAAAAAACATAGGGAGAGCAAAGGATAATTTTTTTCTATGTTAGAAGATGGTATATATATCTAATGGATAAGTTGTTTTCCAACTAATATTCTTGAGGTATGATCTTTAATCATTTTCTTCTATGAATTTTTTTTTAGATTTTTTTGAATGTTCCTAAAGATGGTAGCAGGAACCTGAAAGTAATAGAATAAAAAAGACATAAACTCTAGAAAAGCAGATTTTTGAGTGAAAAATTTGAATATATCATACTCATACAGTGAACAGACTCACTGAAAAATTTTATATCACATAATACTTTCAACATGTTTGTATTCAACTACAGAATAACTCAAGACTAAGAATCCAGAAACTCTAAGGATCCAGATATCTGAATCCATTGTTTTCAGAAATTTTCAATAATTAAGATTGAATTTAGAAATTTTGGATTCATATTAATTACAAAAAGTAAAAAATTACAAAGATGTGCAGCATGTCTATTGGTTGCTAATTATCTTGGAAATGTTTGACGTTAACAGTGTAATATTAAACATTTGAAAATTGTTTTCAAAAACTAATTCAAATAAATGATAAAGTTGTGGGTTCTTGTGTAGGTCAGTATTTTTTTTAAAAGTTAATATACGTTATAATTGCTACCAGTTATCTAATTTCATTGCATATTGCTTATAAATTCTGCAATTATTGATTGGATTTGAATTTTTATGTAANCCCTAGCTTTAGTTAGTGGTAAGGTATTAAGGTTATTCTATAAAGCAAAGTTTAGCCATACTATAAAATATGTTAACAAAGATGTCATTAATAAATAAAAATATGACTTTATAAAATATTTAACATATACATACATTTAAAAGATATTACATTTAAACAAAACCTTAATACTAATCATTTTGAATGTATAAGGTAACAGATATGTATGAGAGGAGTCTAATATTAAAGGTACAGCCCAAAATTACACTAACATTTATAATTAAAGAAAATATTTAAGACATTCCACAAAAACTATATACTTTTGTTTACTTCTTGGCATAATTGCCTTAAACATTTAGACATTTATCCCAGCATGACACTAGTTTGAACATCCCTTCACAGTACTGTTGCTTGTCAAGTTGCTTGAAGTAGTCCAGAATAGTGTCTTCCAATTTCTCCTGATCTGCAAAGCATTTCCCCGCTAAAAATTTCTTTAAAGGTTCAAATAAATGAAAATCCAAGGGGGCTAAATCTGGATTATACTCCACACGTCAAATCAAACCAAACTCAGATTGGTACAGCATAATTAGAAGGTCTGCTATACAGAGAAGGTCCTGTTGCAGGACCTTCTCTGTATAGTCCAAATTTAACCCCCTGTCAGATTTTCATTTATTCGAACCTTTAAAGAAATTAAATAATTATTATTGCCTTATTGTCCTTATTTCAATTCTTATTATATTTGTCAACTTGGACTTAAATTATTAATAGGACTGTTAAACTGGTGTTACGTATTAATGCAAAATTGAGCTAAAGTTCTTAAAGAAACCAGAAAGGCTCAATAAAGAAAGTCTGGTTTCTTTAAGAACTTTAGCTCAATTCTGTATTAATACTTAACACCAATTTAAGAGTCCTATTAATAATTTAAGTCTGAGTTGACAAATATAATAAGAACTTTAAAGAAATTTTTGGGAGGGAAACACTTTGTGGACCAGGAGGAATTGGAAGACACCATTCTGGACTATTTCAAGCAATAGTACCACAAAGGGATGTTCAAACTAGTGTCACGCTGGGATAAATGTCTCAACATTTACAGCAATTATGTCGAGAAATAAACAAAAGTATGCAGTTTTTGTAGAATGTATTAAATATTTTATTTATAAATGTTAATGTAATTTTGGCCTGTACCTTTAATATCGGACTCCCATCGTATACAGTGCTCCCACCTGCTTCTGGTGGAACTACCCTGATGGTGCCTTTGTTTTACCCTAGATTGAGAAAACAAACATCATCAAACTCATGCTCAGATAAAAAAAAAATAAGAAGAACGATTCTATGATGCAGATTCCTGTTATCGTAAAATAATAATCAGAACAATTCTTAATTCATTGTTTTTAAAAATCTTAATAACTAAAATGTCTTAGGATTTTTAGGCTTTAATCAGAGGTATTAATTTACATCTGATATGGAGATACAGTAATTAATGTTTTAGTTTGGTAAGCCCACTTTGAAAAACAAGAAAAATCTTTCCTGGTCTTTAAATAATCACAAAGTATATCCATAAGTCTAATGAATTCAATTATTTAACTTAATTTTAATTAATTCACTTTCAACATGTGTATCTTAGCTGAAGATAGAAAATTAAATAAGCCATTCACTTGATCTCAAACATACTTTGCTACGTAAATGATCAATCTTAAGAATTCATTTATTTACATATATATTTGCATTTTAAAATTTGTTTTGAAGGTTCAAATAAAACAATATTTTTTTTAATACCAGACTGTGTATGCATTAAGTTACAAATGATTTCAGTTTTCAAGGAATGTCTGTGCGATGTCTTACACAAACGTAGCTGACTAAATATTCGCTCAACAGATGCATTGGAAGCTGGTAATATCATCAATAAACTCAACAATTTTTCAAGATTTTGAAACAAACTCTCCAGCAGCATTTTTTAAATTAAATATTTCTGACAAGTAGGATCTGACAGTATGACTTTTTGACCCCAAGTTAAGTAGGGCTTGTTTAAGCCATTCATTGTCTACAACTTGTAAATCAATATTAACATTTTTAAACATTTTAAACAATGGCTCCAAAAACCTCACTGTTAAATTTTGTGAATTTTCCTGATCAAGCAAAAGCAGATATGAAAAAATGTCATTACTGAAATCAAATCTGGCATAGATTTCTTTTACAAGTGTACAATAAAAATTTTTACAATAAAAGCATCAGATCACCTAGACTTACTCTAAATATAAGACTACACTAAACAGTACCCTGAGGTTGAAATTACCCTAGAAAAGAGTAATTACCCTAGAAACGGCAGCACTGCTCTTATATAATGTTATGTTCCTTATTTTTATATAAACAATCCTTATTCTTATACATGCTAATTTGTAAAATTACAGTTTGTATTTAAGATTTAAATTTTAAATTAAGTTTGTATTTAAAATATGATAAAGATAAAACTGCTCAATTTTCAGATAACCAGAAAGATTTATTCAGAAAGGTTTCTAATCAGGCTGATTCCTACTCTAAAGCTGAAGATGTCTATAATGGTTCCAAGTTTTGTATCCTTCCACATATTATTTGTTTATAAAATATATGAATACATTCATTTTAAATCAAACTTTAAATAAATTATATAGTCATGACAGCAGTTTTAATAAGATTAATCATTTATTACTACTAGTTTTTTTTATAAATTAATAATTATGATAAAAAAATCAGTCTTTGTTAAATAAATCATTATTTGAAATCTTTCTGGTTTGAAATATTAATTAGAGAGACTAACTCTTTAAATGTGAAATTAATAAATGCATATTTTAATGTAATAATATCACTATGCATAAAATAAAAATGATGCAAAATTTCTTGTCAATGATGACAATTTTTAATACCAGCATTTGGATTGAATAATAATAAGTTTCCAATATACATAATTAATAACAAAAATAATTAAAAATATGATATCAAAATTATTAAAATGATCTAAAATACTAAATTTTACCAGCTAAATGTATATGTTCCTCTGAAGATGAATCGGTGAGATGTTTAAGTTGTTGTAAAAGTAATGGATATTTAAGAATACGCTGAATTGGTTTAATGAGGTAGGATTCTAAAGAAAAGGAATGTTGTCCTTTTGGATTACGTGATTGAAGAAATTCCATTAAAGCAGAATTTCCTTCACCTTTAATAAAATGATTATTATTAATATCAATTTTTTATGAACTAGTTTATATGAATACATTCAATTTTAAACATGACTTACTAGGATGAAAAACTTTCTGTGCTTTGGAATGACTTGCACAGAATGAACTATATAACTTGAAATGATCAGCATAATAAAGAAATGAATTTCCTAAGGCAAAAAGAACATTCTGGAAAAGAAATATATAAATTAATTTATCTACAAATCCTAAATATCAAATGGAATAAGAAAAC